TTTCCCTGCATGTGTATTTAAAGATACAGTAACCATTGTTTCATATCAGTATAAAAGGAGGTGAAACTTATTGTTGCTTTAATCAGAAAATTCTGCAGTTGAGTTCCAATTAAAGAAGTATTACAAAATAAGTATTACAGAATAATCCAGCATATTCAATGGAACCAGCAGATATCAACTCTCAAGTTTCTGCCCTAACCAATAGAGTGGATACGATTGCTCAGGAGTTACAGGAACTGCAAATTACAAATGAGAGAATATTAACCTATGTTAGAGACATGCAAGGCCATCTTCCTCATGCCGCTCTTCAATCGGCTGGTGATCCTGCTGTCTGTAATCCAGAAAAATTTCATGGAGATAGAACAAAGTACAGAGAGTTTTTGAATTCTTGCTAACTACTAATAGCTTTAAAACCTAGATCTTATCCCACCGAAAGATCCAAAGTCTGTTCAGTGATCTCTTTTTTAAGAGGTGAACCTATGGCCTGGGCCCATTCCTTTTTGGAAAATGATGATCCCATATTAGATTCATTGGATGAGTTCTTTGAAGCTATGTCTTTATTATATGAAGATCCTTTTAAACAAACTACTGCTGATTTAACCATCCGTCCTATTATAGATTACAGAGCCTTAAATAAAATAACTATTAAAAATCGTTATCCTCTTCCACTAATAAATGAATTAATTGAAAGGTTAAGAACTGCAAGTATATTCACTAAACTCGACCTTCGTGGCGCATATAACCTCATTAGAATAAAACAGGATGATGAATGGAAAACCGCCTTCCGGACAAGATATGGTCTCTACGAATATCTAGTGATGCCTTTTGGGCTCTGTAATGCCCCTGCAACATTTCAACATTTTATAAATGATATGTTTAGAGATCTTCTGGATATATGTGTTATTATCTACTTAGATGATATCTTAATATATTCTAACAATTTGGATGAACATAGGAAGCATGTTAGATGGGTTCTATCTAGACTGAGAACTCATAAATTATACGCTAAACCAGAAAAATGTCTTTTTGAGGTTACTGAATTCTCTTTTCTAGGATACATTATTTCACCTCATTCTTTGAAGATGGATAATTCCAAAATCAAATGTATTATTGACTGGCCCGCTCCTACTACTACAAAAGAATTACAACGTTTTCTTGGATTTGCAAACTTCTATAGAAAATTTATTAGAAACTATTCGGATGTACCACATCCTCTTAACCTCCTCAACAGTAGTAAACGTCCTTTCAATTGGAATAAAGATGCACAAACAGCCTTCGACGAATTAAAAAAAAGATTTACAACTGCACCTATTCTACAACTACCTAATCCAACATTCTTATATGTTCTTGAAGTTGATGCATCAGATGCAGCCATCAGAGCAGTTCTTTCTCAACAAAAGACTCCACAAGATCCACTTCATCCAGTTGCCTTTTTTTCAAGATCCTTGAGCTCTGCTGAAAAAAATTATCCTATTGGTGAAAAAGAATTATTAAGTGTTAAAGCTGCCTTCGAAAATTGGCGTCATCTTCTGGAAGATAAAAAAACAACCTATAATAGTTTATACTGACCATAAAAATCTTGAATATCTCTATACTAACAAAACCCTTACAGCTAGACAAGTTAGATGGAACCTATTTTTTAACCGATTTAACTTCCAATTAATATACAGACCTGGAACTAGAAATAAAAAGGCTGACGCTCTTTCTCGAATTCCTTCTAAAACTACTATTGATGTTTATCCTCCTAACAAAATAATAGGGATCCTCTCTTCTCTTCAGGATGACATAAAGAATTTGAATCAGAAGGATCTTGAACTTCCCAAAACACCTATACTAACAAAAAAGGATGGTATATTTTATTTTAAAAATAGAATTTATATTCCTCCCATTCTTAGGAATAAATTACTTAAGATGGTTCATGATTCCCCCCTAGCTGGACATCCTGGAATAAAGAAAACACTTGAACTAACTTCACGATATTATTGGTGGCCTCGCCAGGATAGAACCATTGCATTATATGTCAAAACATGTCCTATCTGTCAAAGGTCTAAACCAGAACATAATCAACCTTTTGGATTACTACTTAACTTACCTATTCCAGAAAAACCTTGGCAATCCATTTCTATGGATTTTATCGTTGATCTTCCACCTTCTCAACATTTCACCACTATTCTTGTCGTTGTGGATCGCTTCACAAAAATGTCCCATTTCATTTCCTTAAAAAAATTACCCTCCTCTGTAGAATTGTCTAAGGTCTTTATTGACAATATTGTGAAACTTCATGGTCTTCCTGAAGAAATTATTTCTGATAGGGGGACACAATTTACCTCCAAATTCTGGAAAGAGATGTGTCTCTCCCTTCAAATTCAACGCAAACTCTCTTCCGCTTATCATCCCCAAACTAATGGGCAAACAGAAAGGGTTAATCAATGTTTGGAACAATATCTTCGATGTTATTGTTCATACCTCCAAGATGACTTGACCACATGGTTACCTATGGCCGAATTTTCTTACAATAATACCATTCATTCTAGTACGAAAATGACTCCTTTCTTCTCCAACTATGGTTTTCATCCGTCTTCATTTCCCATCCAAACTATTACTTCATCCAATCCTACTGTTACATCAAAAAACGAATTTATGTCTTCTCTATTTCTCAAATTACGGGAGAATCTTCAACTCGCCCAAAATAACCAGAAAAAGTTTTTTGACAATAATAGAAGAATTCCTCCTCCTTACAAGGTAGGGGATCTTGTCTGGCTCTCTTCAAGGAATATTACCACAAGCCGTCCTTCAAAGAAATTGAGCTCTCTTTTTCTTGGTCCCTTTCAAGTAATTACTACCATTAATGATAACGTTGTTAAACTAAAACTTCCTCCAAGTTTTAAACTTCATCCAGTATTCCATGTCTCCTTACTTAAACCACACATCCCTGATCCTTTTTATAGAGAAACAGTAACAACTCCTGAACCTATCATTGTCCAAGGTGAAGAAGAATATGAAATTCACAAAATTTTGGATTCTCGTGTCCACCGTGGCTCCTTACAATACCTTATCAGATGGAAAGGTTATGGAGTTGATGAAGACACTTGGGAAGATTCATCTAATGTACATGCTAGGAGGTTAGTTACTGCCTTTCACAAACGCTACCCCTCCAAACCGAAATAGTGCACCCAGAGGATGCCCCATGAGAAGGGGGTACTGTCAGGTATAGTATGGCATGTATTTCGTCGCCGGAACCCACTTCCGGGTTCACGGCGCTCAGCCCCGCCCTTTTTTCTGACGCGGTCCCTCCACGATACTTAGGAAGACCGCGCCAGATTCAAAGGGCTGGATTATTCGCACAGGTGCTGCAGAAAGATCAGCTGCTCTACTTTTGATCCTACCTGCTCCACTTCTAGACCTCGGCTAGTAAAGCGGATTTCTACCTTCTCCACTTCTCGACTTCGGCTTGTAAACGGATTTCTACCTTCTCCACTCCTAGACCTCGGCTTGTAACTCTGAATTCTACCTTCTCCACTCCCAGACCTCGGCTTGTTAAAACGGACTTCCCCACTCTCCACTCCTAGTTCTCAGCTTGTTGAAAAGGACTTCTAATTTCTCCTTCATTGGGTGAATTAACCCTTCCAGTGCCAGAACTGCCTTTAAGTTAAGTAATACTTTTACCAAACAAGCCAATTCCTATTATTTATGTTACTCAGTATCTAAAACTCACTAAAGTGTCACTTTGTCTAATTATTCCTCTTATTCATAAGGGATTGCTACAAAGCCTAATTTTTCCTTCATGTGTATTTAAAAGTACAGTGACCATTGTTTCATATCAATATAAAAGGAGGTGAAACTTATTGTTGCTGCAACCAGGAAATTCTGCA